TTGGAAAAACTGAAATTTTTTTAGTAACTTGGGTTTGAAAAATGTATACTTTATAGGAAATTATATAATATTATGCTTTTTCATCACATCTAAGTAGGTAAACACCTAATAGTCTTCAGTTCTTCACGTGCAATTGTTTGATAATCACTCTAACACAGAATTATTATATCACATTACAAGCCCTTATACCTAATACCCAATACCCATCATATTTAGTCTTCGAATCTCTCGTTAAAATCACAAATAAACGTAAAATTAATGTCAACTTGTAATCACTGTAACAATCTACGTCTATACTGCACAAACAAATTAAAAATTATAGTTATCGGAACGTATTTCTGAACAAAAATCGTATAAATAATTTCAATTTATATGAACTTATAATAATGTTCTTTATAATCAAGATAGTTGAAAACCCAAATAAATCGGATGAAAATTAACCTGCCTATATATATATTTTTTTTAATTTTATTATGTAATATGCAATCTGTACTATTTAGGCACAATAACCATATGAGAGCAAAGTAACACAAAAAATAAAGCAAAAAAAAAGCGAGAAATACGTGATTAAAAAAGCCACCCATTAGTGATACTTTAGCTGTTGTTGATATAATACATCATTATGTTTACCTACCTACTCGTATATAAATTTAATAAATGGTCGAGATTAAAATGATTAAATATGTAATGATATTATATTATTGTACAATACCTCCAATCGGCAATTCAGTTTTAAAGAAAAAATGTAAGAGTAAGTTATTAACTTACTTGTAAATGTAAGCAGCTATAACTTATAACAGTAATTTAAAAAAAAAAACTGGATAACTCACTTCTACTGGTTAACAGTAAAGTAGTTTTAATCACCTAATCTCACCTGGTGTCTAGTTTCAAGAGGTCACTGCAGTAATATATATATTATGTGTTATATTTTTTGAATTTAATAATAAAAAATTATCATTATAAATGTACGAAAATTCTATTCTGAGCGAAAAATAGTAAATTTATGTTTATTGTATTTTCTTTAATATTATAACAAAATAACTAAAATTGTTTGAAGGAAAATTGATACCTATGCATACCTATAGTAAATTTTAATATTCGATATCATCCAAATTAAAACAATAGTAAGAAAAACAGTGATCATGAATTTTTGATATATTTTAAATTTTGTGAAAACAACTTCTAAATAACCTTAAATTTGATTTTTAAACTTTTTGACTGATAAACAATCATCTTATTTATGTTAACATAATAAGTCAAATATTTTAAATAGCTATAAAAAAAAACATTGATTACGTCTTTTACAAACTTATAATTGGTACAATTATTTGGTGAACATTTTTAAGTCTCAAAAATTAGGTATTTCATACTTAATTACAACTTATATACAAAAATAAATTTTACTATAAATATTACATAATATACAGCGTAGTGTATTGTTAATCTTGCCTCCCTAAAAGTACCAACTAAACCAAATTTGCTKATAAGAACCATACTAGGCGTTGAACATTCAAACAATAATTATAACTGATTCAAAATTCAAAACCTTATTTATTAACGCCCGAAATAAARTATATTACATATAAGATAGTATACTAGTATACTAGTATATTTAGAATACCTATAGGTATGTAAATGTAAAAACAGTAAAACAAAAATAGTGAATTTATGACAGACAAAAGAAAACCAACCTTATAATATAATGTATCAGTGTATCTTTATTAATTTTARTGTTAGCCAATAACCTTAGTTGTTGAGGCTTAAATAAATAAATAAATAAAACCCATTGTATSATTGTAAAGACATAAATTTCTCGCTCTGCTCAGAATCTGAAATGTAATTAATAATTTTCCATCTAATTATAATAAATTAAAACTAAAATATAATTATGGCTGTAATAGTTGCTTATAGATTATAAAATTAACGATCATATCACACTCAGACCAAAATTGTTTAGTCATAATTCATACCTAATGAATCTAGGAAAAAATACTCGAGGAAGAAATACCCACAGAATAAATTGCCCAGGAAATAACATCCAAGAGCAAAAATACCCAAAGAATTATTACAAACAAAAAAAAAAAACGAAAGGAAAATATCCAATAAATATTTTTTCCTCAGGCAATAGGTTTTCCATTAGTCATTACCATACATTATATAATGCATTTAAAACATATATTTAACATTAGGGACGTGATATACCTACAAGTGATGTCTCTTTCTCATAAACGTAGCCAATATTTGAGTTAAATAAAATCAATTGTACACCTTTACATTCAATATTAGACTGATTAACCTATAGTATCCAACTTAATTATAAGAAAGTTTAATGTTTTAAGCTGTATGGTCATAACTCATTCCGTATAAAAGCCCCGAAAATATAAAATTGGTTCTACTTAACGCAAATTCACCATGTCATACGTTTGTTAGTGAAAGACGAAGACAACGCATATAATATACGGGTGAGAATGACGTTTTCTTAATAGTTTTATAAATATTCCTCAAAATAGTATTATTCAAACATATACGAAAATTGCTAATGTAAATATAATTATTCAACAATGATTAAAGCAAATTCAAACACGCAACAATCATTTAATTTTAAATTTTTAAACGTGAAAATTTGTTATTTGTACAGATAGGTAGGTATTATGATTAATGTTGATAACTATACACATACATTATTTCATATCTGTGCATTATATATTATATACTTATACGGCTATAAACATATACGACGCTCTTGCAGTGTTTATTTTAATATATGTATCGAAGTTCAGTACCTAACTAATAAATCTGACAATATTGTTGTACATATTATTTTTACCTGGGGAGGCATTCATAAATCTGATCACTTTCATGCGTACATATTCCCACGCACCTTGGATGATTATAAAACACATTTAATGGATACATATACAATATACAGCATTGACCACAAACTTGATGCGTTTGTAAATTATCAGCTATATAAATTATAATGATATAAACTGGTAGGCAAATAGAAATATGGAAATGTTCAGTGATTAAAATGTAGAACGTTTGACGTGCGAGTATAAATATGTATTAATGTATTATTTACTTATCTAAATCCATTCAAGGTCGTGTCAAATTAATTTTTATTTTATGTACTCGATACTTATTACTTACTAACAGATTACCATATTATATACCCCTAACCTAACCATATTATAGTACCCATAACTTATGTCAATACGATAAAATTGCAGCGTACCTATAGAACACCTAACCTAACATAGGTAATCTATGGTACATTCACACATTTTAAATATCGTTTGTACTAGGTACCAACCTCTTTTAGGTATACCAATATGGTTGGCTCAATAGATATAGGCGATCTAGGTGCAGGCCCAGAGCAACATTTCTGTAGGGGTGGCATTTTTTAAAACAGTGACTTAAATTTATATTTTGTTCTGAGCTTAATTATTTTAAAAATTTGTTTTTTCTAGAGCAATATTCGCACTCGAACCGACGCTATAATAAAAGCTTGTAGATGATCAATTTCATACACAACATTATAACATGTTTGTGAAACATTTATATTTTAATGTTTATGATAATAAGATATTGATAGCACCTATTTACAAGATTCAATTTTTGAAAAACTGATTTTTTTAACATCAATAGTTATATAAATTGGAGTAAGTTTTTTTTTCTTTAAGAACTTTCAGTATAAACATATTATAGTTTAAAAATTACAGATTGATACAATAAAATACATAATAAGTTATAATGATTTATTTATTTTTTATATTAATCCGTTATTGTATTACATCAAATTTTGGAAAGTAAAATTTTGAATTTGAGATACGATAAATATAAAGAAAGGATTAAATARTTAATTWATAGTTTACTATTATTTTAACTTCTGTTCATTATTAAATTTTTATGCTTCAAACATTTAAAAAAAAAATTCTGAATTGAAAATTTAAAATACAGTGTTCTATTTAAAAAAAAACCACCCATACCATTCATTAACTAGAATTTAAGGGACAAACAAAAWGTTTTTTCAATTCCATGTCGTAATATCTTTAATATATGTAGATTTAAAATACATTATATTACCTATATATAAGTAGGTATTTAAATACAACTAGAAAGACATACGAAAATACTAAAGATGTTTTTAGAAATTTACTTGTCTACGAGAAAACTTGGGTCTATTTAGTGTTTAATATTTTTTTATTTAAAATTATAAAATCGTAAAATATTATAATAGGCACCTATTTGGTAAGCAAAAAATTATACAAATTTTATTTCATGATATGAAGATGACTCAACTGATGTACCTATGGTGGTTTTCACTTTTAGAAGCATCTTATTTTTGACGTGACCGTCTCCGTTAACACGTGTGTATAATAATATTTACAGATATAGAACACAAATACTCGACATTTTTCAAATGCATACGAATGACATAATTATACGCGTTTACGAGTTGTACATATCATATCAKACCGAACAAAAAATATTTGAGAAAAAAAAGAATAATTATTGTTATATATTAGGTTTAATAATAATAATAATAAACGGAAGGCCGATGGAGCTGGGCGATGACGAAGAAATGGAAAGGCAAAGACCGCGGCGCTGCAGCGTGCAAGCGGCGGTGGCGGTAGCGGCGGTGGCGGCGGTGGTGAGGTCGTTAAAAGAGAGTAGTGTCTAGTAAATTATTCGCAGCCAACAAGAAATTCAGTCCATTCGCGAGTGTTGGTCCGACACGAGGACCCGCTGTCTATTTCTTCCCGAGTCGAACGGTTTCCGGCCACCGCTGCCGTCGCCGCCGACGTTGTAATATTATATTTTATTATACTATTATACATTCGTCCATCTCTGTTCGTTGAAAGTAAAACAATATATATATATATATATATAATTTTTCTTCTCAACGCTGTGGCGTTATAGTAGCGATAAAAAAAAAAAAAAAAAATCAAATATAGAATAACGATTAAAAACTA